AATCTGCAAGAGAAGGGAGACTTGGTAGAAGACTTGTTTTCCAGAATGATGACGACTTGTCAACAAGGGAAACAACCAACTCCAGGAGCTCCAGTCAGAACAGAGTCGGCCTTGTTCACCAGCCTGTTCAGCCTCTTAGTGTCTCTCATGATGGATGGAGTGTAACTAGCCTGATGAGCCACCATGAGGTCTGGACACGGTATTTAAAAGTGGATCCAGTGCGGTACTGACCAGGTTGTCATGAATAATGCTTTTGTTTATTTGTACTCATTTAGTGCAACATGTAAGTCAGACAACGGTTCAGTTCGAGCCGTAAGTGTATAAAAACTAAGCTGTTTCCTCGACATCTGATGCGACTGATAAAAAACATAAACTGCCCTTCATATTCTATTCTTTATAATTAGCAAACAGACTGTCAATCAGTAACTGCTGAGCTTTATTTTGTTTGTAAGAATTCCTCCGATAACAGCGTTCTGTGTTTTTCTTCATCGCTGCTGCGACGCCTGATAACGTCTGCAGTGAAGTGCACAGAGAGAGCGTCATTAGTCGGATCTATTTGTGTGTGAAATCTGGTGGAAAATGCTGCCGTCGTGCCAGATGTCTCTCCTGAGACCAAAGTAGGACGTCCAGCCAGCAGGGTTAGAGTTTAACTAGAGCCGCTGGACGGACGCAGCCTCAGACCTGAAGCTGGGGTTTAATGAAACACTGTCGCTGCTGATGATCAACATCAAGAAGAAGAGTTTAACTCATAACATATAAGAAGATCCTGGACAGGCGGAATGTTCTTCTTTCTGCTGCTGGACCCAGAACAAGCTGCAACCTCAGTTGATAAAATATGATGAGTCCAGTCTGTCTTTGTGGCTCCTGGACGGACCGACACTGATCACTTTAAGATTGATCATCTGGATAATCAATAAAATCTACAGAAACGTGGAGAAATATGTTTAAAAATGGGCCAATCATTGGTAACATTCTTAGTTCTATGTTTTACCGTCATCATTAAATTTTTATCAGTGGAATTCATTTCCCCTGTTGTATGCACTGTAAAAAAATAAAATAAAATAAAAAATCTGTAATTAAAAAAAAAAAAAAAAAAAAAAAGCATAAATCTGGCTGCCAGGGAGCCGAAAAAGTAAACAAAAATAATAAAGGTAAAAACTGTAAAAAAAAACAAACATACAAAAAACAAACAAAAACAACAACAACAACAACAACAACAACAAAAAACCCTGTAACATTCAAAAGCTATAAAATTGATGGAAATAAAGGCAAATATCTGTAAAATATTTTTTCTTAATTTAAAAGATTTAAGATTTAGTTTTAATTTTTTTTTAAATTCTAATTTTGAAGTCAAATGTTGTAACAGAACAAATTCCTGTTTGTGAAAATCCAGATGTTTTGATCTGAACATTATGCACAGTTTTGACTCTTTTGAACTGTAAAATGTGTCATCTGTGAAATAATAGTTTTTAAAAGATGACTATAAAGTTTTCAGAAATGTCATAGTCAAATAGTATAAAATTTGTAAAAAAATTAAAGTAAAAATATTTTTCTTTTCTTTTTTTAAACCAGTATTTCACGTATGGTATATTTTCTATTTTTTACCAGGCAACTTTAAGTAAAACAAACAAAAAAGAAAAGTCACAATCTTATCGATTATTTCTTTTATTTCAAAAAATAAAAAAATATACATATTACAGATGATGAATAAATACAAAAATTAAGAGAAAACAATGTATTTAAATTTTAATTGTAAATTTGTTTTAATTTTTTCACATTTTTTTTATACAAATAGCAATGAATTTTTACATCATTTAATAATAACAGAATTTGTTTTTTTTTTTCCCATTTAACACTGATTTCTATTATTTGTGATCTTTATAGTTCCCTCTTCTGTACCATAACCCCAGTCAGCTGTAGTTTTTTCTTTTGCAGTGAAGCCGAGTGGCAGCAGGACACGTCTGCTTCCTGCTGCCTGCCTCGGAGGGAGGAGATCAGAGATAACGCTGCACACACAGACTCACTCCTTTCATTCGCTCTGGGAATCTGAAGGACGCTGACGAGACCAAAAGGGACGCTGTAAGAACGCTCTAAAAACTTGGACTCGGAAACATTTCCGCAACACTGGGTCAACGTAACAGGACGCCGGATGATTACGTTCTTCATTCTGCTTTGATCAAACCTTTAATTTCAGCTTCTGGAGCCAATTTGGAGACATTTGATATTTAATGTGACACAAACTGGACCTAAGCTTCAATCTGGTGTAATTTAACTCATTTTAAATGTAGTTGTGCTGCTTTCTTTAAAGTATATTTTAAAAAGAAAAAGAATTTTTTTAGTGAATTTTAATTGTAAAATTCAGTAATTTTTTTTAACCTTATATTTAAAAATACAGCAAATTATCTGCTAATAACATTCAAATAAGCATTAAATCTTTTGTTTTTATTTATTTATTTTTACATGTTTTAGGCCTGACAATAATCTTTTCACCTTAAAAGATGTTTAGAGAAAATATTAAATATCTGTAAAAAGCAAACAAACCAAAAAAACAGGAATTTAGTTGCATTTAATTGTAGCAAAATATGACATTCTTTTTGACATCACATTTAAAAAATACACCTAATTATCTGTTAATAACTTTGTTTTTTAACAACTGTTAATAGCTTTGAAACAGTCATTAAAAACTATTTTCTTACATGTTTTAGGCCGAACAATAGTTTTTCTTTAAAATATGTTTTGAAAAAAGGAAATATGTGTTAAAATTACTAACTAACTAACTAACTAACTAACTAACTAACTAACTAACTTAGTGGCATTTAATTGAAGCAAAATGATGTAACATAATTGTACAAATTTTTTTAACATTATAATTGAAATATATAAATAATAATCTGCTAAATGTTTTGTTCAGAGATAATTTACAGAAGAATTTATTAAAGTTTTTGTTGTAGTTTAATATAAAACAGTAAAAATCTGTAAAATAACTCCTTTGCGGTCAGAAAATACTGAATCATTTTTTACAGTGTCGTTTGTTTTTGAGGAAGGATTTTTGATAAAGTGACAAATCCTCCGTACAGCTCGGCTCTTCTTTGTCAGTCTGACAGTCACATTTATTTACCTTCAGTCAGTTTTTGTGGCCAACATGTCGTACTTGGCCGGACCAGCGAACAGCCTCGGCCCCAACCACCCGGCCAACCAGACGGACGTGAGGCCTCGGGTGATGGGGCTGATCCTGAGCGTGGCCTCCTGCCTCATCATCTCCACCAACCTGCTGGTGGCGGCTGCTCTGCTCAAGCTCCTGCTCAAGAAGAGCAGCCAGAGCTGGTGCTTCGTCCTCAACCTGGCGCTGGCGGACGCTCTGGTCGGCGTCGCCATCACCGGCCTCGCCACCGAGGATTTCAACAGCGACAGCATCCACAAGTGGCGAAGCGACGTCGCCGCCGACGTCCTGGTCAACGCCACGCCGGTCGCTCAGGGGAAGACCCAGTGTCTGATTCGCATGGCCTTCGTGACGTCGCCCTGCACGGCCTCCATCTTGTCCATGCTCCTGATCTCGCTCGACCGCTACGCCGCCATCAAGATGCCGCTGCGCTACTCGCTGCTGTCCGGGAGGTTGACGGCAGCCGGGTTCCTGCTGGCTCTGTGGCTCAGCGCCATCGCCGTGGGGTTCTCTCCAGGTGAGGTTTGAAAATGACCAATTAACCCTCAAAAATCACCACAAAACCTGAAAACCGCACTGGTCCAACTAAGAAACGGTAAAACCAGACAGAACATTTTGTAAGAAGCATTAAAACCAACAACAATCAACAAAGACAAAATCTGCATGTTTGGTGATCATGTGGGCTCCAGTTGGAGCCACGTGAACGTCACATTTCAGCTTTAATGTTGTGGAATGTTCCCCAGGTACGACTTAAAAGTCATCAATTAGCGTCAAAACCCACCAAACCTGCCTCAAAGTTTGAAGGACAAAGAAACTTCTGGTATGTTTACATCACATTTAGCTTCCTCGATGGGCGAATTTGTGTGCAATTACCAAGAAACCCTCAAAACCTTCCAAAGAAGAAACGGTAAAACCAGACAGAACATTTCACAAGAAGCATTAAAACCATTGGTTGGCATCAACAAAGACGTGGCTCCAGCTGGTATGTTTGAGCAGCGTTTGCATCACATTCAGCTTTAACGTTGTGGAATTTTCCTCAAGTAAGACTTAAAAATGATCAATTAACCCTCACAACCCAACAAAAAACCTGAAAACTTCACCGGTAAGATTAAGAAACTGTAAAACCAGACAAAACGTTTCATACGAAGCATTAAAACCATTGGTCAGCATCAACAAAATGTAAAATAAACAATGTTCCCCAGGTATGACTTAAAAATGATCAATTATCGTCACAGCCCACCAAACCCGCCTCAAAGTTTGAAGGTAAGAAACTTCTGGTACGTTTTTTTATCACATTTCAATTCTCTCGATGTGCGATTTTCCCCATGTGAGATTAAAACTTACCAAATAAACCTCAAAACCCCCAAAAACCTAAAAGGCACGTTAGGTTTTAAAAAATAAAATCACTAAAAAATCAGATTAAGAAATCTTAAAAAAAGACTTCAGAGTTTGTGTGGTCCTAAAACTACTCGTCTGTCTATATGAGCTGTCAGCACATCTGTATATATATGTATAAATATATATATATACATATATACTGAATTCAAATCAGCTAAGACGTCATTATTGTTGTCCAGATGTTTGTTGTTATTTTAGATGAACCCCTATCGAGCTCTGAGGTTCCTGTTTGTTGTGATGCTGCATGAATCAGAGTGAAAGTGAAACCGATCCTCCTTCTGCTCCTCAGTCATGGTCCGGCAGCTGCAGGCCGACGGCGCCTACGACGGCTTCTGCGCCTTCTTCTCCGTCATCGACAAGGCGAGCATCGTGGTGCTGCTCTGCTCCTGCTTCTTCCCCGTGCTCTGCCTGTTCATCTACATCTACCTGGACATCCTCAAGATCGCCTGCAGCCACGAGAAGCAGATCTGCAGAATTCGACAGGCCAGCTCACGCGCAGCCGAGCAGCACCAGCAGTGGCAGCACCAGCACCAGCACCAGCACCAGCACCAGCACCAGTACCAGCACCAGCACCAGCACCAGCTGCGGAGCTGCTACTGGAGCCACTTCAAAGCCCTGAGGACGGTGGCGCTGCTGGTCGGCTGCTTCTTCTTCCTCTGGTGCCCCTTCTTCGTGGTTTGCATCGTGCACACGGTGTGCAAGAGCTGCGAGCTGAAGAGCCTGCTGGAGAACCACCTGTGGCTGCTGGGCCTGACCAACTCCCTCATCAACCCTCTGGTCTACGCCTGCTGGCAGCGGGAGGTGCGGCTGCAGCTGGCGGCCATGTTTTCCTTCATAAAGTGCAGGCTGTTGGCTGCAGGACCGCCGGGGGCTGCAGAAAGATGCAACGCGCAGCCGCCCGTGCAGACTCAGGCCTGCGTGTCTGGAGGAGATACCCACAATCCTTCGCTGCTGCAGCCGACGACCACCTCTGAGGTCCACGCTGTGCCGCTATCCGCCACGACCGGCTTGTGACAGAAACATGACAAGAACACGTCGTTTAGAGCGGCTTGTCCTCTGATTGCAAGGTTGGCGGTTCGATCCCCGGCCTTCTCCGGATGCTAAAGAGTTCTTGGGCAGGACGCTGAACCCCGATGAGCAGCACTCAGGTGGAATGGCACCGTTTACATGCAGAGTGTGTTTCTGAACTGCTTTGAGAAGTTTGCTGAACTCGGATTTGTCCATTTTTACTGGTTATGACTGGTTCTAAACAAACTCCCAGTTTATCTTAGCTTACCTACAAGACGTCCTGAATGCCACACAGAAGACGTTTCTGCTTCTGTTCTGCCGTTCCTCTAAAGGTGCAGGACTTCAGATGACAGAGAGTAAACACTGAGTAAACTCCTGGAAGTTGCAGTGCTTCGGTATAAATGACAGATTTGTTCCAGCATGAAGGTCGGAGGTCAGTGGTAGCAGAGGCCACTGCAGCGGTTTGGTCTCACAGAGTCCAACATGCGAGGCCACGGGGGTTCCACGATGTTCCACTTGGACTTCTCCAGACCTTTGTGCACACTTTGTGCAATCTGAAATCCCACGAGACCTGCAGGGAACATTGCTCGAGGGCGGCCCAGAAAAAAACCCACAGGAAAGTCGGACGGGAAGCCTGTGATGAAAAGTTTAACTGAAATTAAAATTCATTTCTGCTGAAGGATCGTCTGTAAAAAAAAATTTTAAAAAAAGTATTTGAGCTGCACTCGAAGTGAAGCTTCTGCTGTGGTGACGGCAGTTTACTTCCCTGGATTCTATCAACTTGGATTTACCCTCTGTCCTTTTAAACTGGTTCTAACTGGGATGAAAGTGTGAGAACCAGCTTTACTGCTCTGCTAGTGTCGTACATCCAGAAACAAACAGCCAAGGAACAGCAAAGTCATGTTCTAGAGTCTGGGTGAAGCAAATACTGGAGTTGTAAAAGCTGAAGTCAGATGATTCAGGTTCATCCAACTGAAACCAGTAGCCTGAATATAGCCTGTTAACTTAATCTGGATAAACTTCAGATTAGCTTTTTTTTTTTTTGGTATAAACTGGAAATTACCAAAACAAGTGACTAATTGAGGTTCATTAGTTAAAGTGAGGATTTTTAGTTCCTGTGATTTAACAGAACTTGTTTGGACAAATGCTAATGTTCTTTTATTTTGTTTTTTATACCGTTGTTTGTTTTGGCCTCCTCAATTTAGAAAATATTTGCTAAAGGGGAATTAAGATGAGAGTTTATCAGAGTTTCCTTGTTCAAAAAACATTCTTAGAAGGTTCTGCAAAGTTCTACTAATATATGCAGCGTGAGGTTTTCTTTTGGTTTCCAGAAAGTTCTGATTAAAGGTGGGATAACTAAAGATGTTCTAGAGATAGCGTTGCTGGACCGTTATGTCCCAACGTTCTCAAAACTAAACGTTGCACTGAGAATGTTCCTCCTTTTGTTATCGTGCAACATTGTGGAACATTACAGGAACATTTTGTAGAATTTTTTTTTTTGAAAGTTGCAAGAGAACATCCTTCCCTTGTTCTCACTGTAGAATGTTCCACCGTTTGTTAATAGAATAAAAGAACGTTCTGTCGTCCCCATAGACGTCTTATAGGAGAACGTTCTATAAAGTGTTCCTTTAACAAAAACTAGCTTTAATGTATCACATTGTCGGAACGTTATAAAAGGTTCTGTATGAAACACATTCCGTCATCTGGGTCTCAGATAACATCTGGAAAACATTTATTTGAATGTTGGTTTGAGAACGTTCTTCCTATGTTATTGTACAACCTTGTGGGAATGTTTCTAGATTCTATAACATGTTCTCAACAAACATTTACAAAACATTGTAAGGACATTGCAGCCAGAATGTTCCACCTTTGTTAATGCATCCCAGTACAGGAACGTCTTATAAAGAACGTTGTGACGTCTAAAGCATCAATAACATTTGAAAACATGTTTTTTGAAAATTGCATTGTGAACATCTTTTTTGTCCACGATGTGTTCCCTCAGCAACAAAGCAAAATGTTCTACCTTTAATAGATCACATGACAGGTGCTTTGAAAACGTTCTGTATAAAAACATCTGTAAGATGTTTGTTTGAATCTTGGTTTGAGAACATTCTTCCTGTGTTATCATGGAACATTGTGCAACATTGTGGGAACATTTTTAGAGTCAGTAATGTGTTCCCTCAACAATCAGACAAAAAGTAGACAGAACACTGCAACCACAATGTTCCAACTTTGTTAATACATCGTAGTACAGAAACGACTTGCAAAGAACGTGGACCATCGTGCAACGTTCTGTGAATGTTTTTAGATTCTCTAATGTGTTCCTTCAACAAACCTCTGCAGAACATCTTTGTTGTGATCACTGTAGAAACGTTAAATGAAGAACATGCTGTGATGTGTTCCCTCAACAAAAATGGTTTAATGTTCTACCTTTAATGTATCACATGACAGGAACATTATAAAACTTTCTGTGTAAGAAACATTCCGTCATCTGAGGCCTTAATAACATCCGGAGAACATTTTTTGAATGTTGATTTGAGAACTTTACTTTTTTGTCATTCTGGAACATAATCTGTGTTCCTGACAACATCCTCCAAATGTGACATCAAAACATCATTAAACGTTATAAGAACGTTACTGAAAATAAAATGTTCTTTGAACACTTGATTAAAACATTTTTATTTTTGTAAATTAGAACTTGTAAGTAACGTTATCCAACGTTGCCAGAACGTTTGCCACAAAACAACAACAAAGGTTTGGTTTAATAACACATGTTGTTCTAAGCGACAGTGCGAGAACGCCACGAGAACATTTAGGTAGTAAATCAAGCAGAACGATGCTGCTGAGAGTCTGTATGTACAGAACAGTTTGATAGAACCCGTGATGATACAATCAGAGGTAAATCAGCTGTGTTTAAAGCCGATAAGGCTCCATGCAGTAAACGTTGGATATTTAAGCGTACGTAGACGTCGGCTGTCTTGTTGATACAGACCACTGACACGTAAAGTGGATCGTAATTGTCCAGATCCGAGCAGCCGAGGGAGTTTCCATGACTGAGGAGTTATCCGGGCATAAAATATTCCATGAGCGATATCGTCCGTCTAGATAAACAGCCGCCTGGTCCGCCGTCTGAGAGAACCACGGAGACGCAATAAATCAGGATAAAACAAAGTGGACCGAGACGCGACATTTAAGGTCTCGGCTTCCCGTCCGTCTCCTGACCTTTGTGTCATGTTGTTCTGCTCAGTTTACACAAATCAGAAGTCAAAAGCTGTGATTCTTTCAGTGAATTCATTAGAACTTGTGGTAACCCTGGAAGTTTCAAACTTTCTAGAACGTTTCGATGTACACGGATGCTCTGGTTTCTGAGGTTCAGGGGTTTTAGGTGTTTTTTTATTTCCTATAAAAATCAGAATGCTTCAGACTTTTTATACCACCGGAAAGAAATCAGTCCACAAACCGACAGCGTTCTTACACTGGAGTGAAGAAAAGCAGCTTGATTACGAGTCTAGAACCTTCAGAACCCCACAACGATGAGGATCGTCATCTTGGAATATACTTACACAAAACAATCCACTTAAAATAATGAATAAAACCTGAGCTGGCTCTTAGGGTTTCCTGACAGAAAATCTGTGTTCATGTTTATTTTTGTAGGTTTAAAGTTCTTCTGGTAGGTGCACCACCATAATTACTAATACTATCATTTATTCTATTTACATGAGCTTGGATTAATTCCACAATTTATAGAACTGTTGTGCGACATTAATACATTACTTCTGTTATTCTCCATCTAGTATTTTATATCATTTTTGTCTGCATTTAATTTCTAAAAATGTATCTAATCAGCTCAGTTTGTGACACCAACAATCACTTCTTTTCACCGTAAAGCTTTTAATCTCGGCTGTTTGAAATGTGCCGCATAAAAAACTAGTTCCGACTACATTCCTTCTGTTCCATGCAAACAGTTAGTCTCTTAGCACCAACTAGCTTTGATAAAACCCACATAAATTATACATCGAAACATGCAGCTCGATTGGGAAAGGTGTGCTGTTTTCTTCTGTTGGGATTCGTCGTACGGTTTTAACGAAATTCGTAAAAAACTACGTTAAATCCCAATTGAACAGGAAGTCGACCGGACAACTGCCAGAACCAGCCGTCGTTGGAAACCCTGTTGCTCCGACAGATTCTGTGACAGAAACTTCATTCAAAGTTTGAATGGTCCACAAGGCTTTAAATGTTATTCCTCTGAATCTGTGTTTTGATATCTTCTACGGTTTTTTACGCAGTCACAGTTTAGGATTTATGAAGTTTTTTTGGGAAAATTTCTTCAGCTTTGCTGAATTTTGACCAGAAACATTTTTGGAAAAAAGTGCTGTTCTTGTCTTTTTCTCATAATTTATTCTGCACATGAACAATTTATGCATAAAAATGTTGTCTCCTTCCAACCAGTGTGAATCTCATTACCACAGGAATTAAGGTTTTTCCATAAATCACCTCAAACTCTCTTTATCATTACCTCCAGTGTAGTGTTTCTGAAACATGCTGGTTTTTTAAAGTAAAATGTACTTATGTAAATTATATGTTATTCATAATTATAGCAGGACATACTAACTAGCAAAAATTATATTGGCATGCTCAGAATGTCCTCAGAAATCTTCTTGATCATCTTAAAACGCTGATTTCAGACGGAATCCAGCAGCTGGTCACGAGTGAAGCTCCTGGATATTCAGTAACTGAGCTGTGGTTCAGTCTTATTCATTGTATGAAACAGAATCAGGACACACAAAGATATAACACATTTATTCACAAACAAAAAGGTTCATTTAACATGCTGACTGTCGTACCTCGATGGGACGTTTCAAATATACAGGAATGCTCTCCAAAACTGTCTGAGTGAACAAAAAAAATTTGAAAAACCAACTCAGAAGAACCAACATCTTTGTGTAATTTCCACACTTGAATTACAGCCTGAGGTAGATGGTAGTAAGTGTTCCAAAATCCACACTATCACACTACACAGTGTGCCAGAAATGGACTACGTCGAATGCAGTGTGGATGGACTTTGCAGCCTGCAAGCCAGAAAGGGCATCTCACAGGAGTATATACAAGCTTTAGCGGTTCACAAATTGTGTAACAACAAAGTTCAAGTACAACAACTGGACTCGTACCGCATGAAACAGTACGCGCTAGAAGTTAAAAGATCAAGTACGGCTCAGTCCATCTCAAATCGTCACATTTCTGCTCCACCGTCTCTGATTTGCCTGAAATTTTTACACCATAAAACGTTGATATTTATAGAGATATTTGTGAAATTTTATCTCTTTATATCAAACAATTAATCAACTTTCAGCACTTTTTTTTTTTTTTTTACACATCGTAATGTACAGCTGTGTTTGATCGACAACATCTCAGGAACTACTGAAGATAAAAACCTGAACTTTTACTGTAATTCTCATCATGTCATTAATTCAGAATCTGTCGTGTCAGTTTTGCACAGAAACCATTTTAAATATCCAGATAAAAAAAACATTTCTGTCATGTGACACATTAAAAGATGGTGGAACGTTCAATGTTCTGAGGATATTTTAGGAATGCTGTTGAGAGAACACATTATAGAATGTTCTTCTACAAACCGTTCTCCCAATGTTCTATGATAATAAAGAAAGAAGGTTCACTGACAACATTAAAGAAAACAGTGTTTTCCAGATGGTGCTGACGCCTCGGACGACAGAATGTTACGGATTATATTGTGGCGGTAACATAACAGGTCGAACATTTTGCCATGTTGTTGAGGGAACACATTATAAAACGTTCCATTATAAATGTTTCCACAGTGATAGCAAAGAAAGGACGTTGTTAATGCAACATTCAGAAAACGTTTCCAAGATGCTATCAAGATGTCAGATGATAGAACGTTCTTTGTAAGACGTTCCTGTGTTATATTAGACATGGAACATTTATAAAACACATCATTGAACGTTCTTCCATGACATTTTCAAAATGTTCGATGACAAAAAGGAAGAACGTTCTCCTGCAACATTCAAGAAATGTTTTCCAGATGTTATTGAGGCCTCAGATGACAGAACGTTCTTGTAAGACGTTCCTGTGTTATATTGGAGATAGAACATTTAGCGAACACGTCATAGATCGGTCTTCTATGGAAACATTTTCTAAATGTTCAATGACAAGAAAGGAAGAACGTTCTCCAACAAAATTCGAGAAATGTTTTCCAGATGTCACCAAGACCTCAGATGACAGAACGTTCTTTGTAAGATGTTCCTGTACTGCAAAATATGAACAAAGGTGGAATATTCTGCTGCAATGTTTTGGGAGTGTTGTTGAGGGAAGACTTATAAAACGTTGTATAAATGGTTCTACTATAATTACCAAAGAACAATGTTCCTAGTGCAACTTTTAGAAAATGTTGTCAAGATGCTAACAAGACCTCAGATGACAGAACGTTCTTTGTAAGACGTTTCTGTTACATTAGAGATAGAACATTCAGCGAACACATCACAGAATGCTCTTCAATGGAAACATTTTCTAAATATTCAATGACGAGAAAGGAAAAACGTTCTCCAACAACATTCAAGAAATGTTTTTCAGATGTTATTGAGGCCTCAGATGACAGAATGTTGTGTTTTGTGCTTTTCCATTTTAAGTATCGTTTATATAATAAAATACTAAACCAGAGATGGTCGTCAGAAGGCCCCTGATGGTTTGAGATGGAACGACCTGGACGTTCTAGCTGCGCTGCTGCTTCGGCGTCCTCATGGGGCTGAAGAACGGGTGCCACAGCGCCTCCTCCAGCGTGATCCGTCTGCCGACGTCGAACTCCAGCATGCAGCTGAGCAGGTCGAACAGCTGCCGCTCGTCCTCGTTCCTCCTGAGCATGAGCTGCTGAAAGACGAACACACAGTAATTTGACTTTCCGCCGCCATCGTTTCTACGTGACGGCTGCAGCCGATTGGCCGATGTGAGCGGCGTCTACCTTCAGAGGCTGGCAGTGTTTCCGGACGTGATCGTTGGAGGAGCTCTGTTCGTCCCAGTTCAGGCGCTCGTTGTGGACGTAATGCTGCTTCCTGCACACCGTACACGAATGAAGCTTTTAGTTAGACGGAAACAGATTTTATTCATCCCTTACTCCCCTCCTGAGGCCTCTGAGGGTATCACAGTCAGGTTTAACTTGACTTCTTACCAAGTACATCACCATGTTTACTTATGCTGAACACCTAACTAGGGACCGACTGATTTCTTTTTATTCGGAGCTATTAATAATATTAATGATCATCCTCCAGAAATGCGGATAACTGATAGTTGGAGGAAATATACACTGAATGTTTTGTGGTACTAGCATGTGATAGCAGAGAACGTGTCATCCATAACTTTAGTGCTTCATTAATAATGATTGCTATACCTGAATTTGAACAAGAGAAATTGGAGTGCTGACGTCAGGGAGTCATGTTACGATACAAGGCTGCTTAGTGTGAGATCGACTGAACGAGATTGATCAGTTTGTCTCCTGCCGTTCTGTCTAAAGTTCTTCATTTAAATAAAAATAAAATAAAAACTGTCCTCTGTTCTATCACTTTAATTGCCACCAAGGCCAATTATTATTCGCTGTTGTTTTCCAGACACTGTTTCAGGTTAGTCTGCCTCCGAGCTTTGCCGCTAGCTGTTAACGTAGCCTTAGCCAATGCTAGAGGAGCTAATGTTCTGATTTAAGATTGCAGCTGTTTTTCATGTTTAGCTTTTTTGCAAGTTGTGTTTTTGCTAGAGAGTCATTTCTGTCCCTTAGAACAGATTATTGGAGTTAATCTGACTTTGTGAAAATGTGATGGTACTACAGCTAGCATTAGCTAGAGGCTAGGAGGAACAGCAAACCTCTTTAAAGTCTTAGCGTAGCACTGTTAGCAAATTAAGTTCCAGTTGCGCCGACGCCTACAAGCAAATTTTCCGGGGCTTCTTCTGATTGTTAATGAGCTCGTCTGTCTCTCTGTGTAAACAACAGCTTTGGACGACAGAGTGACTGCATCTGAACCACAGCAGCTCATACATTTTTACAGCCTTATAGCTTATATGCTAGTTTGAAATCAGTATTTATCCAACAATGTTCCCGAAGCACAATGTTCTAAAAGCAACATTTAAAAATGTTTTTCGTGTTATTGAGGCCTCCGATGACACTGTTTTGTTTTATTTTTTTATACAGAAAACTTCATAACGTTGCTGTAATGTATGTAGTGTACTAAAGGTGGAATGTTTTTCTCAATTTGTTGAGGGAACACATTACAGAACGTTCCTCGATTGCAACATTCTCAAAATGTTTGATGATAAGAAAACAAGAACATTCTCCAACAACATTCAAAAACGTTTTCCAGAATGTCTTTTTGTACCAAACTTTTTATAACGCTCCTGTAACGTGGTATGTTGAAGGTAGAACACTGCGCCTTGGTGCTGAGGGAACATATCATAGAATGGAAAACGTTTTCAAAATCTTAACGAGGTCTTAGGTGAAAGAAGGTTCTTTGTAAGACGTTCCCATGCTGTGATATGTCAACAAAGGTGGAACATTCTGCCTGCAGTGTTCTGAGGATGTTTTAGGGACGTCACTGCGAGAAGACATTGTAGAATTCTA